ATATAACCCCTGTAAAATCCCTATAATCCCTATAGTTTCCATGTTCTTTTCTATTATCCCTATTAAAGAAAAAAACCCTACATGATCCCACCAACCAGAAACCCTAGATGGTGACTGCGCCATCCCATCAGAATCACCATCAGCCCTGTGAGTCCCGAAAGCAAGTGCCCTTTCGGACTTTGAATAACAGGCAGCCCACGGAGTTTCAGGATCTCATGCAAGCCAAGCAGCTCTTGTAGAAGTTGCGTAGGCATCCTCTGGTAGGACTTGACCACCTTCAGCTAGTTATCGGACATTGCATCTAATAAAACTCCTCTGGAGGTTCAGTGGTGAGTCACAAGGGATCCTAAGAGTTGATTGATGATGATGATGATGCTGCTGCTGCTGGCCGCGGCGGCCCGATGTGGCTGCAGTTTTTTTCGGCAAAAGGTTGAGCAGGAATCTTGGGACGGTTCAGGCTTTGCACGGATCTTTTCTGGAGAGTTCTTTCAGGGAACCCTGATCATGTCGACCGAGCCAGCTGCCGTGCCATCCTTCTTCTGCTCAGCAGGCTTGTCCTCCAAGATCGGACGACATTCGTCTGGGGAAATTCGGAATGCTCGGTAGGCTTTATGTTTTACATGATATCAAAAAGAAGGATAGTCATCTCGGGACGATAAAGCCATGCTGTTTGCCAGCGGCTTGTCAAGAACCGAAGTTCTACAATGATTCCCGGCCATTTTTTGGAGGAAGTAGGGCTCGCAGGGTCTGAGTTCTTCAGCTTCAGGAAGCAAAGACGCTTCGTAGTTGTGACACCTGGCCGCATGATTGCTTTGCGGTCTTACCTTCAACCTTGCGGAAGGCTGCCCCCACATCCTAGTAACGCTGCGGCATGCCGTAAAAACGCTGGTCACCGCATGCTTGTCCATTAGACCCTGAGCACGTGCCTACATTCCACAGGCCCCGCAAGGCTAGTAGCAGAAGGGCCTGTACAGGGCACATAGGGCAGGAATTCTATGTAGGGGCTCCATAGACGGACAACCCATAAACACACTGCGAACACAAGAAACCTTATGTTCACCTGCCAAAGCCCTACTATATACCCTACCTCAGTGGAGCCTACAGAAAGTGGTAGAAAATGGCCAGATGATGCAGCCGCTGTCCTTGTACTCCGTACCAGCGCCCCCTCGCTTGCCCATGGCATGCAAAGAGAGGCCAAACCCTGTGCTAAACAAAGTTAATGCTACTATGTTGCTGCATGCTGCAGCACTCCTGTCGACACCTCCTGCATAGACTGAAGACAGAAGGGCTGAGGCTGACTGAGCTTAGGGATCGGAGGATCTGCAACATCTCCCGGAATCCTTCCAACAAGCTGCGAATGTTTGAATGCGCGGGACCCTTTGCTGGCTGGTAGCGTACCTTCAACCAACCCCGGCCTTCAGAGCTCAAGCAGAGCTTGAGCAACAGAATGTTGGATCTGGGTCTAGGGCATAGGTTTCGGGATTGGGGTAGCAAGGACGCCGCACATCCGCCTGAGAGCCAAGCTAGAATGGTCCTTCCTGGCTGTCATTCTGGCCGATGCGGAGCAAAGAGATTGCAGTTGTCAAGCCCACAACTTATCCCACAACAACTGAGACGTGAGCTCAACCTCACCTCCTTCCAAGAACGATAATCAAGCGTGGCTCCAAAATGCATCCACAACCCGCACTAAAAGAACGCTTTTGATGCCTGCTGTTGGTTCGCTGGCTTTTTGACTGACGCATGTGGGTTCCTGTGCTGTAGCGTCGAGCTAATGAGTCTGCCAGCGGTGCCTGTAAGCAGCTGTCGCAACCTAGGGCCCTCTTTGCAAACTTGATTTGAAATCCTCAGAGGGCATGGTCCCTTTGAAGGGCATATCACTTGAACAACACGCAGGGAACCCCTTTCTGAATGTCTTTAAGAACATGAAACTCCAAGACGACTTGGAGAAAGGCTCATAGCAACATGATGAGGCGGCCCAGGTGGCAACTGATTGCAAGAGGGTTTGGGAATGTATTCTATCAGACTTGTACAAGGGATTTATGACAGGACAATCCTAGTAATCATTCCGGTGTCTGCATGAGCCAGCTTAATCTGAGGCTGATGCGAGAAGCTGCAGGTTGCTGAAGCATGAAGGGTGGGCACTGATCCATTTCTCAATCATTTTTCGGCCTTACCAAAGGGGCTGTCAAAGGACAGAGCAGCAGCAGACCTGTAAGGACTATTGAGGATCTATGGGAAGCATGAGTTCGCGAAGTGCATGTTAGGCACCGCGATCCAAGTTCGACAACCTCTACCGGATCCAGGATTGCCTTCCGCAGGTCTTTGTCAAACTGCTCTGAATCCTCCTTCGTGGCATTTTCGGTCTCGTTATAATAGTAAGGGCTACTAGCCTTGAGCGTGGTATGCGGGGGGGAACCATCTTTTGGAGACATAGCCTTACAAACAGTACAAGTAACACTAAAATCTGGGCTTCTCTCATTTGGTCTTGAAGAAGACAACCCTTCACTGGCATGAACTTTGCCGCTTTTGGGCACGAAGCGGTGGTGACGTTCGTCAGCTAGTTCGTGACCTGCAGGCAGTCACACGCACCAGAACTGCTGATAGACTTGTTGATTTTACGTCATTTCCATTTTCTGCCCAATCCTTTCATTCCGTACGTTTGCAGATTAAAAACGGGCAAGTAGAGTGTCTCGCAAGAGACAGGGGCAGGACGCATGCTGATGAGTTTTATCAGGTATATTTAGCACGGAATGCGTAGAAAAGTTAGGGAGCAAGGGCGAAGACGCCAAGAAAAGAATCAGCTTTGTCACGACCCACGAAGCCAGACTCTTGTTGCACCTCCCCTGAATCTATCAGGATACCGGTATACTGTCCCATTTTGGTGGGCGGGTTAGGCTACGCAAGCAGCGTCTAAGATGAAGAGACTACTTGAAGCTTCTCATATGCGAAGTTCGCCAAATAGAGGTGATCTAGGCTCTTAATGTCCTCAGTGGAAGCCATTGTCGAGATGTGTTGGAAGGGACGAGTACAATCCTTCTTTGATGCCGATATATCCCTAGGCTACAGGGCCCCTAGACCCTCATGTTGAGAACCTTTCACGTGATTGTTGGAGCAGCCTCTGGATCGAGGAGATTGACCTCTTTGGGCTCCTCGGCATCGAGGAGGCACTGGGCAGCCGAGAAGCACGCCTAGGCATGCGTTGGGTGCTTCTCAAAATGGGGTACCCTTGTGGACCCTGCGCCAGGAGCCACATAAGCTACAATCATCATCAGCTACGAGCCGACACCTAACATTACGTGACATGACAAACGGACCAGCTACGCACGTAGCACCGAGTTGAACTGCACAGACACGAAATCTTGACTGCGTCCCGTCTACCCGTTGCTTTGAGTGGTTGCTTGAACCAACCTAAAGAAAGCTTGAAGCTCTGCACCTGCTATCTCCGATACACACCAACAAAAGAAGCAGTGAATAAACCGACTGAAGCGCCGACACATCCTCGAACCCTTACGATGCTCGGGCCTCCTGGTGTAGCTGATCCAGGTGCTGCTCCTGCACAGATCCGCTGCTCTGCCATGTCAAGACCCTTGATGCTTTGGAATGAGGAGCTTCAACACTTCAAACAAATTTGGCCCCAAAAACATGCAACAACAGGACCCTCTTTTTCCGATGGCCTCTCTGGGCTCCTTCTTTAATTTGCGCTGCTGCCCTACAAACCCCAAAAATCTTGAAGGAGGGAAAGCTGGAAAAGCCGCCTCCTCTGCCGCTTGCAGCGCTGCGGCTGTGGGCGCTGCAGGCACTACCTGGCAAGAATTTACATCGACAGTCAGTTTGATGTGAAGCATGCAGGGATTATGAAGGGATGGCAATTCAAATCATATGGGATCCTGGCGAGGTTCTCCATCTGAGTGTTTTTCTGGTGGGACGCTGGGAAGTGGAACCCGAATCAAGGCAGTTTAACACGCAGGTCATGTTATGTCATGCTGCAGGGCCATTACTGATTACTGCTAAGTGGAAGGACCTGGCCTCCACCCTCACAAATATTCCTCCAATATCCTGATACAAAGCACTGCAAGATGCTGCAAGTAACAATCCAGTGGAAGCAGTCCTTGCCTTGCCAAAGTCCCGAAAATTTAAGACATCTCTGGAAGGCCTACAGGCCCCTTCTCACGCCCACTAACTGTGACGCTGCTAGGGCACTGGGGGCACGTAGGTGCCGTTGGAGGGATGCTCTTCCGCTTCTGGGGGCTCCTCCTCCTCCTCGTAGACCTCCTTGCCAAACGGACACAGCAAAGGCTTAGGCGCTAGATGACAAACCGCGTTACCTATCATCGTGACTACACGGCTATAACTATACAGGCTATATCCTGGATATAAGCTATAGTCTAAAGTCCTGGCCTCCCGCTTAGTAACCCCTATAGTAGTCCCCTATATAATCCCCTCTATAACCCCCCTTTAAGGAGTTTAGGCTATGGTTCATATGACATCAGCCCTTTGCCTACCCAGCCCGGCACCCCAAAGCCTAAAATGGCAGTCCTCGCCATCCTCCACCTCTGCTGAGGCTTCCCCGATCCCCTCGAGGCCGATGCCGGAGACTCTCCGCGAGTGAGCCTCGAAGAGGCCTGCCACTGACTTGGGGATTTCCCGAAATCAGGGGTACATTTACAGGAATAGAGTTGTTGCCCAAAATTAAGGATACTTTTTGGGGGTTTCCCCCAAATTAAGGGTACGGTATGGATAATAGAATGTCATGGAGGGACTTCGGAACAGTGACACCCTGTAGGTCTCTGTGGCTCAGGCAAGAACTGCATGGTCCCGCGAACAAATTCTCGAGCTAAGGGTTTCAGGCAAGCAAATACTGACATTTGCTGGATCTCTACCAAACTACAACTTTGCTGAGAAGAGCCTCAAAAGTTTGCAGGCCCGTTTCTACTACAATATGCTCTTCACAGTGCATGCACGCGCTCAAAATACCAGAGCCCCATGACGCTTCCATGACCTCAACCAAACTCGAGACATCCCCAGCAGCTCATGGGATTTCCTTGGCCCCTTGTGCACGGGCTGTCATCTTTGATGACACTCTGAACTGCCGATACTCTTGCCAGGTGTGTCTCTGGGATTTGGACTGCCGAGTCCAACTCCAGACCCGTGCCTTTGACACCACTGACGATGGCGCCCGCGCCGGTGAATATGCCTTGCAAGGGCTCCATGAGGCCCAGGTAAAGGCTACTTGGGAGTGGCGTGAATTCTCACGTGGGGGCCGACCAGAAAGAAATTTTGACTTGACCTAGTTCAGACACCCAGGCTGCCTCCCACAGCACCACCGAGGACATCGCCGAATGTCACATCCTGAGAGCTAGCTCAGTGGTGGGAACGGAGATCGTATGCAAAGCTTGTCTGCGGCTCGGCTTGCTGATGTAATATGATGTAATGCCGAGGCTAAACACAGTGCTCACCATGAACCGGACAACCACCATACCCGCTATCACCACAACTACTATGCCCATACTGCCACTTGGCAGTGCAGGTGTCCTTGGCGACGTTCACGGAGCCATCCGGCAGCTTCGAGTCCTCCGGAGGCTCGTAGTTGCCGAAGCCCACGATGCGCTGCGACAACTGTCTGTACCTTGGCTTCCCTTCGCGTAACCATGCGTGGGGTCTTGAAAGCTCTTCGGAACGACACTTCCTGCTTGATACAACTTGCGGTAGCATGGCTGTGGACGGCTGCATTTTTGTTCTGGATTATGATATAGGGGGTTCTGCATGCGGGCCCGCCATTGACGACACGCCGCATCAGCCCAGTTGCAGAATCAACTTGCGGCTGTATCCCCAGAAGCCTAGACCACGTCAAAGAACCTCCCGTTGACCCAAAGCTCCCAGCGTAAGTGAAGCTAACGAAAGCAAGGTCGCGAAAGTAGTTGGAATCCTAGCCCTTACAGCAATGGCAGCCGGCAAAACAGCAGCAATGTCCGCCGGCATCATCGTCTTGCCAAGCAGCTCCTCGTGGTAGAACTCGTTGCCGGACATTGCCTCAAGTGCGCCCTCGGCGGCCTCGCGCACGAGGCGGTAGGGCTCATCGCCGAACCTTTGCCCGAATGCTCTGAATCTCGAGGAGCCTACAGGTTGGCCAGAATCCTTGTAGCCAGCAGATTTGATGCAGAAAAGGGGCATCGGAGACGGAGGTCCCGTGAAAACGGCGGCGTCTTGTACGCACTTCAGATGCTCCTTGAACACACTGGGAACCAAGGGGCCTACAGGAAAAACCCTGTGAGAATCCACCATACGTCTGCGTTTACTGCAACTGGCGGCCCGGTCCTGCATGGCCTGCTGAAATGGAGGGATGCGGTAGGCCAGCGTCTTGATGACGAATAACGCCTCCCAGGTTGCCAGTTGCCAGTTTTCCTCACAACCTCAAAGGTCCCCATGTAAACCTCTTCACCTGTAAACCTGGTGAAAACAGTTAACGAAACGAAGCCCTTCTGTAAGGCTCTCCCAGGTGGGAAAAATAAGAGGCCGCAAAAACAGGAACAATAACAAGCCCAAATCCCTGAAAGCAGACAAGAAGGCCACTGTTCCACATACTTCTGGGATTCACCCAAGGCCTTCAGCTTCACGTGGGCGTGGTCACCCTCCACGCAGTCGGCCAGGTAATCCGCGACGGCGGGCAGGTCCGCGGGCTTTGCCTGCGAGACCTGGCTCCCAATGAGTTAGTCGAAGGTTTAGAGCTTAAGGGTTTGGAGTTTAGGGTTGAAGGTTGTGTAAGGGTTGAGGGTTTCAGGTTCAGAGTTTTAGAGCTAGGGTTGTAGGGTTCAGGGTAATCTACATTGGTTTCTAATCTGAAGATTTGCAGTTTAAACGTCCAGAGCAATAACCTAGAGTACACCTGAAGCCGCACTGCTCAGAAGCAGAACATGTACTGTAGCCTTTTTTCAAGAAGATTCAATCAAAATCTACACATGGGATCCACACTTGGCCCCCCCTTGCCATCCAGAAACATGGGCGCATGTGTTCTGGTTTGTGTAGAATTGCCTGTGCATTCTGCAGCACACCGCATTTTGTTGTCTGGGGCTTGACATTGAAACGGCGGGATTGGACTCTATTGCATATATGTTTGAACCTTTGCTTCTTCGGAAACATGTCCGTGCGAGGTCTTACCAGACGTTCATCTGGGAACTACTTCTGGTCTTTTCTGGCGAGTAGGTATTCTCATCAAGCACAACACAATCAGCCAGAGCAGGTGGAGTGGTCATGGGCTTCAGGTAAGAAGTTCTGCACCAACGACAGCCAAGGGACATTCTGCACAATGTCATTGAACAGGTAGCCTGGTGTCGGCGTGTTGTCCCTGTTCCTGACATGTCTCACAGCATGACATGCTGCTCCCTTTTAACCCCAGAAGATGGACTGGACCAAAAATCGTTCAACATAATCTGCAAAAACTAATCCTATCAAGCGTATGCCACACCCTCAGCAAACGGAAAAGGGCTCTGAAGATCAGCCCGGGCGCGTAGCTCTGTAGATGTCGCTCCACTCTATGGCAGCCTGGGGCACGCAAAGCGGTGGCCAGCAAGCAACATGGAACTCAGAAAAACACTGATGTTAGTGTCCTGCCCTGAATGATGCTTGCAGTGCCCCTCCTCCTCAAAGCAGCTAGTAAGGCAAGCAGCACAAGTAGGGAGACCCAAACAACATACTACCTGTGCTAGCAAAACCAAACACCATGCCAACGGCAAAGGGAACATAAGCGCAATCTGCAAATAACACAACTGCAGCAAGAATCGAGAAACCGACAGTGTGACCAGACCTGAAACATTGGTATAAGAGTCCCAATGTGTTCGTCCTTGCTTGAGGTTAGGATCCCTGCCTCAAGCTTCTGAACCAAACGAGCATACAGTGTTTCACTTAGTTCTCGTCAGGAATTCTGAGCTCTTGTTTGCAAGCACGACTGAGGCTGCAACCATTCGCAGCAGCCTGAGCAGGCATGGGGCAGCAGTGATGTCCTTTATGACCGCCCCCTTTGCACAAGCTCAGCTAAAGAATGTGAGCTTTTGTGTAGGGTCGGGAGGGGCGGGTACTATAAAAGCTTTCCGACGAAGTACTCAACCTGGAGACGCAAGAAAAGGCTGGCTACGATATCCCCTGAGATGCTTTGCAGTGCATTAATTTGAGATCCCTGATTCTTGCAATTCCTCTGCCATTCGCCTACCTTTCTCCAGTTATCCCGACCACATCAACCTCGAGGTACCAAGGTACATTAAAACAAACTTTCGTGGCCCCTATTTGACCCAATCATGTATTATCCTTGTTGGAGGGACCCCCAAAAAAAGGGACCCTGTTTTTCAGAGACCCTCATGCAGATTTAGGGCTCCGGCCCTGTTTGTGAAGCATCAACTCCATCCCGGAAGACTCGAGCGCTTCCGTCTCTGAGGCAGCCCGAGACTTGAAGTTTATATGGTGTTATGTAATTGGGATTCTATGGGGGTATAATTAGGGATTCTATGGGGGTATAATTAGGGATTGTATGGGGTATAATTAGGGCTTGTATGGGGGTATATAGGGCTTCTATAGCGGTGCTCAAGGTGTAACTTTGCCTGTTTGTCTGTCGTCTACATATTGGATGAATGGTCTGTGCGTGGATAGAGGGTTGCGTAAGGTGTAACTTTGCGAGAAGGCTGTGTGGCAACAAGTTGGTCTTGGTTTGGGGTGTGTTATGGTGACCTCAGGGTTGGACCAGGCTGATACGCATGCTTGAGATAATGGACTTGGAGTTTGAAGCTTGGTGACAGCCGCGTGATCCTTGGTAACTATGCGGCGTTCTTTGGGTGTTTTAAATTCTAAAATTCTAAAACATCAGACTTCGGGAGTTGGTAGAGGCATCGTTCATATGAGCATGGATCAGCTGGAGTTTGGATGATGTGTGCGCATGTGCGCAGGCCCCGAAGTTCGAGCCAACAGAATCAGCTTTGGCCGGCCAAGGCAATCCAGCTTGAGGAAGTAAATGCTCGAAAATGCGTGGTTGCTATACCACCCCGCACAATCGCGTAGGCTCACGAGATCTCATAAGCTACCTACTGCTGGTTCCTTGCACAGCCGTGTGACCAGCGGATATGGGCGGCTACAAGAAGCATTTGTATCATGGTGGCCTGGTCATCAAGGTTTGCTCATTCCATGGTCCGCATTGCTGCACCACGAGATCTCAAGAAAAGTGGGGCTTATAAGCATGTGGGGCTTAGCCTTCAGTAAACTTTGGTACTCGGACATGACACTGCGCAGCCTAATGCTCACAGACCGCTAGCTGAGAGATGCGGAGTCAGCAGACTTCATAACAGGAGGCCACCTCGCACTTGACACTGTTTGACCCGAACCTACACTTAAGGACACCTTGCATCAAACTGACAACCAAGAGAAGGCCGAGAGCGTGCAGCGTGCGTTTTGGTCGCGGCACTCTGAATCTCAAAAGTCAATGCTGACCGCTGCGATCTATGCTGGATCGAGACTTGAGACGCTAGCAGTTTCGAAGCAAGACAACCCTAACATAAGAGTGCTCTACACAAAACCAGAGGGGACCCTGCAGTTAAGAAACTCATTGTAGCTTTCTCAGATAACCCGGAGGAGGGAAACCTTTGACAATCAGTGGGGGGAGGAGGGGGGGAAGAAGGGGGGGGGTGGCAGGCAGCCGAGGAGGCTGGAGGAAGGGGGAAGGCAATGAAAAGCAAACCGTCGGCGTGCCCCCAAAACAAGAAAGCTTTTGCGGGTTTTGGATCCCGAGCCAGGGAGGGGAGGAGGGGAAGGAGGGGGGGGTGGCAGGCACAGGGCAACGAAAAGCGACAGAACAATTTTTTTGCGGGTTTTGGATCCAGAGCCAGGGAGGAGGTTGGCGGGGGGAGGAGGAGCGGAAGGAGGGGGGGGTGGCAGGCAGCCAAGGAGGCTGGAGGAAGGGTGAAATGGCAACGAAAAGCGAACCGAGCAGGTTGGCGGGGGGAGGAGGACGGGAAGGAGGGGGGGTGTGGCAGGCAGCCGAGGAGGCTGGAGGAAGGGAGAAATGGCAACGAAAAGCGAACCGTCGGCGCTGCCGAGTCCGGAGCCAGGGAGAAGGCGAAGAAGGCGGGGGGGGTGGCAGGCAGCCGAGAGGGGTTGGACGGGGGAAGCGAACGGAAAAAAGAAAAGGGGAAGGAGGGGTCGCCAACACAGGATAAGGAAACTGTAAGTTCTATCTACGCAGACCTTTGGCTGAGAAATGCTACGCACAAGCCCAAGAACCCACATCCTACTTTCAGGCACTCAGCGTATCATGGTATCCTTTCATGTAACCCTACAGTGCCATACAGCACGGCAACCGACAACTTGGCTTCAGGTCGTCTGCCAGCACCCTGGTCTCCTTGAATCACTGGAGCTGCAGGCCCACCTGCCCGAAATTGTCCCCTAATTTGTCTTTGTGCCCATTTCCAAGTCGAGATTACACGGGGATTTGTAGGTGTCTACGAGGTCGGATAGCTGCAGCACTAGGTAGGTGATGTCCCCAATACTAGAGACCACCAGGGATCATGGCACATCTATGGGTGGTTTTATGCACTCCTGTTGTACATACCACTATCAGTGAATTCGAGGCCAGCTCAGGCTTCAGACTTTAACAACTTGATCAATGAAGGCCCCTTGTAGTCCGAACTGTTTCTCACAGCAGTCGCTACATGGTGCCTTCCCTCAGGTTCCTCCGAAGCACCAGGGAAACGCTCCCTCTTTACCTTCACCCTGTGCAAATTGTGGCCACCTCCACGCCGCGCAGGCGCAGGAACCTGGCGCAAAGGCCCGGCGGAAGACGGAAAAACGCTGTAGGTGTTGGAAGGTTCTTCCGGATGTTTAGGGCCAGCTGGTGGCTCAGGGCTCAGTGATTTTGACATGTAAGGTGCTTAGGTCAAGGGCGGCTTCCTCTCCTACTTGCCAAGCTGCAGCTCTCGCGCATGCGCGTAGTTGCACATATGTACAGTTACGCGCTGCATAGAACTTAGAAATAAACCTATGTGTGTACATGTATGTATGCATAAGGGTATGTATCTACTATACAAAAACAAGAACTGGCACGTGTTTCGCAGCCAGGGAGCTGAACTAACTTTTCTTCGCTGCTGGAGAGACTTCGCTCGACTTTTCCTGGGATGGCCAAGGGGTGAGGTTGGTGACTGGGTCCAAAAAGGAAAAGGCCCAAAGATTTGACCACTTCCATGCTTGACACTCAGCACTATACCAGGTGTGCGAATGTTTCAGGAAGTTTTCCAGATACGATTCAGACGCAAAGAAACTGGCCAAGGGGCTGACAATCTTTACCTGGACGATGCGAGCATGCTTTGGGTTTTCTTGCTACGGGGCGCGCGCACTGAAGAGAACTAGTTGCTTGTAGTGTTAGGCCGGTTAGGCAAGAGGAAGTCTTTATGAGGTCTGGGTGTGATTTTGTGTGAGGTTTAGCTTAAGAAAGGGAAGGTGTGCAGCGGAGGGCGCAATATTTTCCAAGAAGTAGGCGAATCACCATGATGATTATAACTGCACGTGAAATCGAGCCTCAGACACGCCTACACTTCTCTTTCTGGTTGGTGCATAATGATGTCTCTCTCTCTCTCTCTCTCTCCCACGGATAATGATGTATACATATCCTAATGGCGACTGTGGTTCCTGTGCTGCCACAAAAGGTTGTTGTGGATCTGTCGAGGATATCGGGGCTCTGGTAGCCCTGCTTGGATGCAATGTGCTCCATGAAGCCCCCGGTAGCCTGTGTTTACAAAGCGCAGCCGTTGACAATCCCTGCGATTACGCAACACCATACAACACCCCTAGGGCCCCAAGAAATGACCCGTGTTGCACAAGCCACAAAAAAGAGACCCCTAACTTCAAGAAACTTGTTCCCACACTTTAGTTAAGTTACTATCATAAGGAAAGCCTATTATTTACTAGATACAAGTATGGTAACTTAGTTTTTCTGCTGCCTGACAGCAACCCAGGAAAAGTCTTCCTGCCGGCCTTGAGCCCCTCTCGGAGCTTGCTTCTTGAGGTTTTTGGCACCAGCACCGCGGGCACGCCGGGCGGCGGCCGGTGTCTCTCCTGGTTAACGTGCTGTGCTCCAAGGGCTTTCGGGGATCTGGTGTCTGGTGCTTGCTCGGGGCTGACTGGATTGGAAACCCGAATCCTCTGCCCTATACTCAGCCATTCCATGTTGCAACCTCCATGTAACGAATCCTTCTTTAGCGTTTCTGACTTGTAAATCCACCAAAAACTTTAGGCGCCCTGCACCTCGAGGGTCATCTCGAAATCGCCATCCCACTCATCCTGCCAATGGAACGGCCAAGGAGAAAGGATAAGGGTTTGGCGGTTGGGGCTTGAGGGGTGGGGCAACATAACATGACTGGAAAGACTGCAAAAGGGGAGCCCTTCTTCGGATCTTGAAGTTCATACAAGTGTTGCTAATGAGGTCACATGGCTGCCGGTAAGGTGCTTCTGTATTGCTACTGCTGGCATTGAGGCTTCTGTTTGGTGTTCATTCTATAGATTCCCATAGCTGCTGCCTACCCAGAGCCTTCGGCACAACAGCGGAAAGGCCCCACAGGCACAGAGGATAAACCCTAAACCCAAACTTGCAACTACAACCCCAAATATGAAAAGTGTAAATCCTCAAGCACACCCCCCCCCCCAGGTGCCTCGTTGTCAACGATGACGAGGCCTACAGCCCTCGATTCCTCTGCTCGTCGGGCCAGGGTCCTGGGCTGCAGCCCTAGGGTCTCTCATAAAAGTATTATAATGATGCCAGTAATAGTAATTGTAATTGTAGTAGTAGTAGTAGTAGTAGTAGTAGTCGTAGCAGTAGCAGTAGGAGGAGCAGGAGTACTAGTAGTAGTACTACGTAAGTAGTAATAGTACGCCTGAAGGCCCCACAGAAGTTTACACTGGCCAATGTGTTGGAAGGATGCAAGGGATACCAGGACGAGGAGATGTTGAGCGCTCAGGCTTAGAGCTTACAAAAGGAATGTTTTCAGCCGAGAATCCAGGAGAACCAGGACTAGGAAGAGTACGACCGGGTATTAGTAGCAACGTTCTACGAATAATGATGCGACTGATAATAAACACTGGTGAGAACATTCCTGATACTATAACTACTATAAAAGGAGCCGGAGGTTGGAGCCAGAAAAGGACAGAGGTGGGGGGCCCTTGCAAATACCAATCTTCTTGGCTTGAGGGTTTGTGGGAAGCGCGGGTTCCGAGTCATAATCTGCGTAGCATCTACACAGGGCATGAACACCTGCCGCGAGCTATGTTTGGGGGCAGCCCCATTGCGAGACCATACACTGCTTGCAAAAGGGCAGCGTTTATAAGGTCTACATAGGCGACCTGCCAAAGGGACTCATCTGATCACTACCTGGCCCTGCATCGCCATAATTAGAAGTCTCGAGCCTCTTTCTTGCCAAGGATCTCAAATTCGACCTCGCCCCGGATGGCGACCACAACCTTGCCTTTGGCCTCGGATCCTCGGCGCTGTTGGGCATGCAGTAAGTTGGGTTCCTCATTCAATGATCCTGAGCGTTGCAGTCGGGGAACAGGTGCAGCTGTAGGTTTGAAGTATATATATGTATATGGGTGGTTGTCAAAATTATGGTTCCCGTTTGGGTGCCGTGAGTATTAGGTGCCGTATTATACTAGGGATCCAAAAAGGGACCATAATTTTGACAACCACCCATATGATTTCTGTCCAGCTGGGTCAGGATAAAGAAAGAGGTTGCAGGGGTGAGGGAGACACAGAAACTTTCCACGGTCGGCAATCTCAACTTTGAATCTTCTCTCGCCCGGCTCCGGCACCTAACTGCTACCTGCCCTTCGGAAAAACTCCTGCCGAGCAGCCCCAAGGGCGAAGGCCGAACTCATTCTTCCTCGGAAGGCTTCGGGATCGGAAACCGTGGTATAATGGTGACAGTATTTGTTACTTAGAGGGGCTATGATGAGGGAAGAAGAGTTACTCACTTCTCCAACCAAATCATCAAGTTCCCCAGCCCACATGGTCTTCACAAGTGTCATCAAGGATCTGCATAGCGCCACTGAGGTTCGTACCAGGGGCCATGTTGCTTGACAAGGGCCCAAGTATGCAGTCTTAAGGGCCTGAGCTTTCTGGCACTTAAGGGGGGATTGGGCGACAATCCCCACATCACCCCTCCTTCAAATCTGAAACCCTACATGCCACTACGAATCCCAAATAACTTATATACCCCCTGTAAAGGAACCCTTCAAACTCCCCCTTAAGCACCAGTAAGTAAACCCAGAGCCCAGCGTCTGGCTGTAGTGCATGGGCGCCTCGCACAGCACTCCAACTTCAGACCTCGATGGATACAGTTGACGGTGAGAAGAAGTATATATATATATATAGAAGTTAATTGATAGGGTTTTAAGAGTGTTCAGGGGATATAGTGGTATATGTCAGGGGTTAATTAAGAGGGTTTAAGGTTTAGGTGTTGTATAAGGTTATATGGAGGCATATCGTGTAGATAGGGATTGAATAGGGGACTAAGTAATGCTAGAGGGATGCTTTGTCATGGGGACTTCTTTTGCTATTAGTTATTAGTCAGCCAGGTTGTCTGACCCCAAGCCTCAAGCTGTTAAACTTAACCTCAACAACGCAATTGGAAGCTTGCCACTGAGATACACCGCATAAACTGTCCACTACAGTACCAACCAACAACCATCAATTAAAACTGGACAGCCAGTAGAAAAGTTGTTGCTGAAGAGAAAAGAACTCCAGGTCCCGAGGAAAGGCAGACCTCTATCATCCCTAGACCACGAAGCCTTGGACCTTCTGCAAACCACCTGCTTTTCATTCCGTCACGTGCGCCAGAATCATGAGGGCTTCGACTTGAATCACTCTTTCCACGTCACCGGGTACAAATCAGAGCGGCGCCAAGTGTGAACGAAAGAAAACGAACAAAAGTGCGGGCTCCTCTTGGCCTTCAGGCTCTAACCTCATACGCCTCCACTGTAAATCCTTCATGCAATTCCAAAAAATTCTGTGCGAGACCTGTGCGAGGAGCTTATACCGCATCTTCAGTATCCGCTCCGACCAGTCTGCCGGCACGCAGCTAAGAGGCTCCTTGCAGGGATGTGGCTTTCTTTTTGTTATTATTCCTACTATGAAAATTACTGTAAGGTCCCTTTAAAGGGCTTATAGGCAGTTTCTAGGGTCTGTACAGAGACGGTGTAGGGCTTTAGGGATATGATCCGCGAAAAATCCAAAATCACATGAAAAGGGATGGTTGTAGTACTTGGGGGTCTATATCCTACTATTATTCCCCTTGTTATTATGACTAATGGTATGATTACTACTGCAAAATCATATGAAGCGACTTCAAGTGTTTACTGCATCAGCATACTCAAAGTTAAGGACTTCTTCAGAAGTATGGATCCTTCCTGTGGGAACCCATTTTCAGGGGGGAGGGGGGGGGCGGGGGCGCATTAATACAGCGTGGGGCTTTGTGATGAGGATGATAATCAGAACTGTTGTTAGCCACGGCTCCTGGCCATCAATCTCTAGGAAATCTGCAGTGCCCACGGCCACAACCGCAGGCGGGAGGTCAGCACTCGCCTCCTCGCGTGAAGTTCTGTAGACTTATTTCAATTTGAGGCCACCAAGGTTCCTGGAAAGTTTTGGCCATTGTGTCCCAGGAGGTTAGGCGTTAGGGTTTGAGCAATTTCTTGATGGTTTTGTTCAAGGGCTTTACGGCTGCGGGCCCCGGGTTAGAGCTCATGCTTACCGGTCACAGCCCGCATTGCACTGTCAATTCCGCTATGGTCAACCTGCACAAACACGAGAGGCGTGAACCCAGGTTCGGTTCCTTCGGGCTCACACCTGATGCATTCAAAAATGTGTAGAATCATCTTTCAGACCCTCTGGGGCTTCAAGCAAACAACAAACCTTACAACAGGAGCCCTGAACACAACATGTTTCCTATAAGAATCTGCGACAAATCGCGTGTATGCTGGTGGGGCACGGGAGGGTTTCCAAATTCAGAAGCAGGAGCACCTCAAAGGGCGCTTGGGCGGAAAAACCGTCACCTGTAATGACCTCCACAAGCAGGCTGTCTTATAGTGCCCCTTAAGTACATAAAATATAGGGTATATGGGGATCTTATTATACTGCACCCAAGGCCATATTCTATCTGCTTAAGGGGGACTATAATCCTCCCTCCCGGTACCCCCGTGCCTCGAAGACCATCCTTGGCCTTGGGCCTTTGGCCCCTCTACCGAGCCAGCGTCTTCTTGAGCAAATGCGCGGCGCGTGTGCCAAAAAGGTGGGCGGAATTCCCTTGCATGTAAGCCCCCATACTCACTGCGCGTGCTGGGGGCAGCAGGTCTGAAGAACACCCAAGCGGATCTGTCAAAATGTACATCTGCGTCGCAAGACGGAGGGAGTCTTGGTGCGAAATGAGGCTTCAACATCCACCTTTCGAAGTACGCACTAATTAGGGTGGGGTGTAGGTTTGAGGCTATGTCTCGTCTACGTGTCCCTGCAATCAGGTCAGCCGCGACAGTGTGCCACACCTTCATGCAAACCACCACCCCCACACCTAAATTCATGAAGCCTCGACCGCTGTGCAGGGCGCAGCTTAAAGCCGACAGTGTACTGGCTACGAGTTATGCCAGCTAAAACCCTGGATTGGATGTGAAATGAGAAAATCCAAACTGTATTAAAATGGAAGAGTGCTGACAGACCATTCGCCTCAAACCCATGGCAGGTATACTTAAAGCCTGATCCTCGATCTCCACGAAACTTGTGACACTCACCCCTCCCCTCCACTGCTCTCCCCACACCCTGCACGTCAGCCAGCCCTACAGAAGCAAGAGCTAGTGCGCGGCTGAAGGAGAAATTCACTCACCGTTCCGCCTTTTACGACTGCCGAGGTCGAGCTTTCAAGGGTCTTCTCCAAATGGGCTCCAGAAAGCGTTTCATGAACAACCATCTTCGAACATATCAATATCCTAAGGTCCTGAACGCCAAAGAAATACAGGCGGAATTCAGAAACCCAAACGAGGACGACAGTTCTGCTAAACATGTGCTTTAAGAATTCATTCCTTTGCAGTCCATAGTGGTTGAGCATGCCTACAAAAAGCGTTTGGTTGGAGGGTCAGAGGCTGCACATGGGCATGCGTCCATTCACTTCATGGGAAAAATATTGGCTTTGCTTAGGGGGGAATGGCAACTCCAAATCAATCTCACCGAGTAAATCATTTGCTGAAGATGCTGCTTTGCTTACCTTCTGGTTCTGTGGCCCTACATACACAAGATTCTTCTATATACATGATCCTTGCAGAATGCCTCAAACTGTTAGAAACCCCTTCGAACCCCATAGCCCCATAGCTGTCAGAAAAACAGCCCGTCAACCTTCAGAGCTAATCCATCTAAGATTCAATATAACCCCTATAGATACCCAATATAACCCCCTATAGAAAATAGTAGTTTCCATTTTCTTCTCCATTATCCCAATATAACCCCTATGTAACCCTGACATAAAATATGCTTTTCAGAAGCCCCAGGGTGCACGCTCACGCCCTCCAATCCGAGGCTCCTCGTCAGGATAAAGAGGCTTCAGGATAGGCTTCCTCGAACCTTCTGTAAACCAAGGTAGGTTTGGGCCCCATGGAAATTGTGTTCTCAAGGATTTCCAAAGATTACGAAGAGATTTGGAGAAATTCTAGACCAAAAAATCCACGTTCAGATCTAACATTGAAAAGGTCTGCAGAGAACATGTGCCGTCATCATGAGAATCAGCCTTGGCCAACCAGAGCTGCACATGAGCTATAATTAGTCTAAACTCCTGGTATCCCCCTGAAAATACCCTATAGTAGTTTTCTATGGAATCCCTTAATTAACCCCTTTAAGAAGTTTAGGTTGCGGCTCATCGTTTGTAGACGGTTGCGTGGCAATCTGAATCATACCTCTGCTCCTTGGAACATGCCAGTATATGTCTTCGGGCTGAGGCAGATGTGAGCAAACCCATGCCTCACGGGAACCCAGAGACCTTAATGCCAGGTTCAAACAGCCGTGAGAAACATTGGGAGATGCTGATGTTGCGCCAGCTGTGTTCGAGTCAGCCAAGCTCAAGGTCTGGGGCATCAGCTGCGCTGCCACCGCTGCACGTTTACCAAAGGTTGCTTCCGTGACGTCTCAGCTCCAGGCTCTACAGAAACAGTGCTTTGCAAAAATAGTGGGTCCTCTTTGTACTCCAGAATATTGTAGGTATCCCAGAAAAGTGACTTGGACTTACCCATGGACCCAATCAAAATTGGCGCACCCCTGTTTCCCCAGCCTCGTGTTGGAAGGACATCGAGGAGTCCCTGAAGGCCTTGAAGTCGAAGCTGTCGTGTGAGCCTCGGAACTGTTTCACACGAGATTCCTCATGGCACAGGCATGAAAATCTAGATTGAGGCTTGAGTTGCTCATGGTTGCTCCAATCCACCGCCGCCGCCACTATCACAAACAGCAAGGCCCTCACAGCGCCTTATGCATCTGGATTTGCTTCGTGTTCGTAACATGATCGTTGACAGACCCCTACGTATCCATAGCGACGAGGGTTTCTGTGCTGCGTACTCTCCTGGTACATCCCCAAGATCCCAAACCCGGAGCCTATCCTCAAGTCCGCAGCTCCAGCACTTGGCCATGTGACGGAAAGCTGCTTTGGCGTAGGTAGCACACGCAACTGCGACGACCACGGCAGCAGCAAGCACCTCATTGTTGCGTGGCACAAATACCTCTCTTCTGTCTGGCCCTGTCAAGTTTCGGACAAGGACCCTCACATCTGAAAATGATTCTTTGCGGGCTCACGCTGAAGAACTGGAAGTATTATAGACCACTGCAATCCCAAATCGGGCCATGGGTCGAAGCAAAGAACTCGCCGGAAAACAACCTCAGACGATGCGTTGAAAGGCTTGGGGTCTATCTACGGATTCTGAGGTTGGGATGCGCATGGTCAAGGTCGTTGAGGCGTCGTATCCCTAATGTTCAATGCCTAAAGCAGATTAAAGTGGGATGGATTGCTTGCTGCTTGGCCAACCAGCGCAAGAGCATGAAGAGAATAGCGTCAACGGATCACCTCGATTCCTGTCCCCTATGTCCCTTCCATAGTTCAGGCTTCGTCAAAAAATGGGTCTAACATGGTCTAACGCTTTTAGCCACAGCGGGCTGGCCATGCCCAAATCCGCAGCCCTAAGCCGAAGCTTCCAAATTGCAAGGGCTGTACAGCTAACTATAAGCTCTCCAAAACAAACCCGAACCTTTCTGAGTCCAGCTGCCCAAGCTTTCTGTGTATCACGCTGCCACTGCCGCATCAGGGGCGCCTGCGCCATGAACCAACCACCCCAGGGTGAAACTAAGATGATTCAGAAGTGGATTACCAGTCCAATGAGATTCTAGTCTTGTTTCTGTTGCATAGCCTGAGGCCACAGCTCTGTGAGCAAGGTGCGGCTTCCGGGCATAGCCCTTGTCAAGTCCGAGATTGGCGCCTCCAAATCCTGGAAGGGGCGGCAGCTGAAGCTCGAAACCTTGAAGATTCAGGGTGCATTTTTTTCGGGGAAGGAATTGAAGCATGGAAGTTCCAGTGCTTGAGGAAAACAGGTTGCTCAAAACATCCTGCAACTTTTACATCTCCCTTCCTGCCCGATCTGCCCACACCCTGCTTCAAGCTGTGCGGCACAGGCTTTCACGCAGGCCATGCTGGCACAGCCCGGAGCCCGCAGGTAGAGTTCGGGATGGCCCTCCTTGGTCTGATGGACACCTCTTGCCTGCAGCATCTCTCCTCATACTCTGCTCTTCTCTTTGTTCCGTCTACCCTTCACATCCTCTTCCTTCTTCTTCTTCTTTCTTCTTTGTTCGGTCTTCTCAGCTTCCCGTGGGGCTTCAGAAGTGCCCCTCTTAGCATCTGCCATTTACCAACATTAAGCGCTATCAATACTTCTGGCCGTTTCAATCTAACCAGACTGGCCTGGAGATGTTCGGGAACATTCATCATCTTGTATGTAAGCCATTACGTTACTGGAATCACCATGTGCCCAGGGTCGGCAAACTCGGCTGCAGCTGCGCCCAGCGCAGCAGGAGACACGAGAAGGTCGCCATTGGCCACGCAAGACCAAACGTCCCTGCACTGCAGCGATGCAAAGGTTCCGTTAGGTACCTTTGCAGGGGTCCGCAGGGGGTACACTTACTGGTGGCTTCAAAAGAATATGAAGGGGTACCGGTACAGAGGTACATAGGTTCAGGGTCTAATCCCGCCCGTTTTAATGCTCCGAGGCCACGTCTAGACGGTCAACAGTAAACACCTTTACCCCAGACCCCCCAACCATAAATTCAGACTGGCCGTAACCAAAATCTCAAGGCTGAAGCCCGAGACATCAAACACGGAAAACGAAATCGGGAGCCTGAAGTAGTGCTCTCGAACATCCTTCGCGTCCTTGATCCCGTGATGCATCACCTCATAAAATCCGGCTTGATGAGTTTGGGTCTTAGGTCAACAAACAGATGTAGAGGACTTGTGGTTTGCCTTGGGTCTAGGTTTCGAGGTCAAGGCTGAGGTCTGGGTTTCAGCTGACATGCTGGACAAACTTCAAAAGCTGAATCCTACCATTGTTTACCCCTACCGACCGTATCTTTAGCATAGTATACGGCAAAACCGGTCGCAAACCCTATTCAAATTATTCAGGCCCCGCAGTACACTGCAGAACTCTGCAGTCTTCTGCCCTGACAGGCAGGGGACATCTACACGCAAGCTACGTGGTCAAGCAATCTATGGAGTGGGCTGCCTTTTGGATGTTTAATCCTTTGCTATGTCCTCCAGACTACACATGACCAGTAACTTGAATGGGCTGCTCAAGGTTTTGGGTTTTAGGCTTCGGTAGCAGGCAGAAACCTGAACAAGCGGCAGCGCCCCAGTCTGAGCCCTACAGAGGTATGGTATACGGCACCCCAAAACCTTTTGCAAAAAATCAGGTTTCTAGACAACCCCAATACCCTAATATGGCAAAAAAACAGGTTTCTAGACCACCCCAAAACCATAATATTGCAAAAATCTAGTTTCTAGACAAACCAGAGGTGCTGGACCCACGAGGTTGCTCGCTTGCCGGTTCAGGTACACCCCGTCGTCCACAAAGAACTGCATCCTGGGTTTAGGCATGCGGGCTGAAGTGGGCTGAAGTGGGATAGGGGACTGAGTAAGGATACATATAATCTTATAGACCCATGGCACTCCTGGCAAGAAAGAGAGGGCCGAAGGATCCCGTAGAAACCGTATACAAAAGGACTCCTCAACCTGAAGGCTCGTGCTAAAATCTCTGACGGGCTGCCGGGGCCAGATGGTGAGCGTGCCTTCGAAGATGCGAGGTGGCTTTGAACTTAGGAACCACTCTGGTGGTGATTTACATTTGATTCTTCAGAGAGGTTGCCCACTTTGGATCACGTGGACTCCTGAAATCGGACCCAGTATAGAGATCCATGCGGGTCCAACTGGGGGAAATTCCCTGTGGGACGTTACCCGGACAGCACATGGCTTTTGTCGCTATGGGGAATTCTGGGCGGGGCACTCAAGGTGCACAGACCTTGCTCTCTTGTGGGAATCCTACAGCAGTATTTAATGACGCTGTTGGATATCAAAATCACCCACAGCAATCTATTTTCTTGCATCATTGAGCCCAAAAAGGAACCCATACTGTTGAGAAACTGACGCAGCAGCACTCACAGACCCTGCGACCGAGTTGCAGGACGAGGACCAGAGCCCCCCGCAGTGCCTCACAGAAGCGCATGGCTGCGCAGAAGCTGCAGAATGAACGTATTGGAACAAGAAGATGTTGGAACTGCTGTAGGCTACGGCCCATAAACCTCAAATTTATATGGCACGCCGGCTTTGGATGAAAAATAACGCAGCCTCGCATTCAACAACTGCATTTGCCCGACACTGGTATATAAAGGCCTTTCTGCTTGCGCTTAACAAGGAGCAAACAGTCCCCAAAATAACCATACATTAGTTATGTATTCTATCTTCCATCATCCCTTCATCACCCCATCAACCCTATCTAACCCTCTGTAGTCTCGTTAAACCTATGATAAAGATAATGTCTTTAATATTTCCTTAAGGTTATACTATAATGAAACTTAAAAAAGAAATCCTAAGGACCCTATATAGGAAATCTGCCCCTAAGCTCCCCAGCCTCCGCCCGAAGCCAGTGGCGCCCAAATTCCAGGCACGCGGAGGGCCCAGCGCCTCGCGCCAAGGGCTTAAATTTCATTAATCTATGGTAGATTCATTCGCTTCTCCATCACTATCCTTATATTACCCTTATATAACCCTGAAGAACCGGTTCTCAGCCTGTTGGGTTTAGGGCTTAGGGGCAGGTTTTCGTATGTAGCAGGGTTACATAGAGTCAAATAGGGATATTGGAAAATGAAATTGAAAACTACTATATGGGTTACTTTGAGAACTCAACCAAGCGTATAGCTTCAAAGAAAACATGACCCACCTTCTTGGCAGCGCGGACGAAAGTCCAATACGGCTCGAGGTTGTCCACTGTGGCCTTATGGTTTGGCTGCTTCCAAGTCCAAAGCTTCGCTTTCACGAACTGCGTTCACTGGAGCATTTGCAATCAGAGGCCCTTAAGATCTCGAGTCAGAACTCTGTCAACCCACGGATTCAAAAGGGTCCGAGTTAACGTCATTGAGACAAGCTTACAAGGACCTGGCTGGCGGCTGTAGCCAATCTCAACGCTCGTGACCCCCAAGAAACGCGAGGCCCTGGGAAATCTGTGACTAGGTCAAAACCTGTTCAGGAACATGAAGTGGCATCCTTCCATGCTGTTAAGCACTCTGGAGCTCATCAAGAAGGCCCTGTGCGCCTACGGCCCGGGAGGCTCCCGTCAACTTAGAGCCAACGGTGGCCATGGTTCCGCTCCACATCCGATGGCACCAGAGGCCCTTTGCACATACATCAAACAAGAGGATCCACAGCTCCACGGCCAAGGATGTTGTAGAACAACCCATATCTTCCTAGTTCTTAGTAGGGAATAGGGAATAATGGAGCTCATAATATGGACTCTCAGAGAGGGGCCACTAATTCTTGGAAAGCCCATAAGGGCAGACGAGTGGCTGTGAGGTTGCCATACAGCTCGTTGACCTGGATTGCTTGCTTTGTGTCAGTTGAACATCAAGTCCCTCAAAGCCGATGTTATTTCCTGAGGTTAGCAAGGACGTCACAAGGAGACCCTAAACCCTAAATCCTAAATCCTTAAACCCTAAATCCTTAAACCCTAAATCCTAAATCCTAAACCTTAACCCTAAACCCAAACCCTAATCCTGAACCCTAAATTCTCCCTAAATCCTATGACAACATATTTGAGGGCTGCAATTCGGTTTGCCCTTGAGCTATACATCTGCAGCCGTGCGGCTTGCTCAGCGCCTTGAAGCTCCAAGATGTTGACCTGCGAAGCTGCAGCGGAGCAGGGCATCTTTTAGCTTATAGGGCTTATGGGTTTGTAGCTGTTGGAACTGAGGAAGTGGGGCTCTTGAACAAGGAAGGAGGCAACTGAGAGCCAACAACCGGTTTCGCGCAACCATCGCATCTCTGCTTCAGACAATGCCTAAGACTCCAATGAGCATGAGATAGTCCAATAAAAGCCATCCTGATGCCCCCTGCTTCCTGAGATTTATCCCAAAGTAAGAATGTCACTCCCTGCAGTGTCTGCGACGAGGCGCCAGCATCACATGAAGCGCACCGTTGTCTGCAGAGCTGAAGCCTCAGGATTCGCTCATTACAGACATTCAGGACTGGGTTCTGGGGTATAGTATACTCTCTCGCGTGCTCAGGAATCCTGTCAAACGCTTACTATAACTCTATAATGTTGTATACGGGGTTTCCAGTTGCAAGGACAAGACATTGGTAATCCTTCAGGCTTCAGGCTTCTACGATGGCCCCACCGTCCACACCAAGCACGTCCGACTCATCCTCAAGATGGCCCCTCCAGCCAACATGCTGTCTGAATTGAGGATCAAGATTCTATTTCCATTGTGACTGCAGCTTGTCACACTTAAAAAGCCTCTGAAGTGCTGAGCCGGTGGCCAGGCGGCTTGTGGCTGCGGAGGTAGGCCTCAAGCAGGCAAAAAGAGAAAGGTGAGGACTGCTAAGGGGTTATAGGAGAGAGAGATATATGTATAATACATATGTATGTATAGGCGTATATAAGGATTGATGGGGGTTGGGGCTTAGCTCACCGAGATGCGACTGCAATCTGGCAGACATTTCATTGATCTCAAACTCAAAGATGTGATGGGGAAGAATGGGCTAAAGAACTTAGAGGCACTCTATATGTGTAATGCACAGCCTCTGGTCGCAATGGTGTCAGGAAAACTAATGAGAGAACAATGCCGAGATATTCCTTCTACGGTTCGTGCATTCATGAACATGAAGGCATCTTTGGTGCATAACGCATACACATGGTACTTTCCCGAAAGAGGGGGACCCCAATATAGACCCTAATATACTATAGTCCTTGTTATGGGGACCCCCAGAAAGGTACCACTAATTTTGGGAAACTCCCACATTACAAAACGCTGCAGATGTTCTCATCGAGTCTGCATATGAAGCGAAGCTGCCCATCGGCGCAGGAACTCCCGGACCCACGGCACGTTCTTGGCGACGTAGTTGCCTTACTTAAGTCAGTCCTAACATTCGATGCACGAATCTTCAATTATCTTGCTACCTTCAAAGCCTTCCGCTTTATTGTGCATATCTCGGGCATCAGTTGAAGTATGACTGCGGAAGCGTCTTTTAGAGGTGAGGTGTTGACGGTCCGATAAGTCCAGACATAAAGTGAGCTAAAATCTGAACTCCTAGTATCCCCTTTAATCACCCCTGTAACACGCCCCTATATAATCTCCTTTTCCCCCCTTTAAGGAATTTAGACTACAACTTAAGTAAGCTGGAACAACCATGGACCTCCAGGTTCTCCTAATGCCTTGCTGCATCCTCGGCACCAGCCATAACTTCGGGACCGCCAATGCCTGAGCTGTTCGGTTGATGCTAACAATCAATTGCTCCTAAACCCTAAACCCTAATCCTAATCCTAAAGGTTTTGGCTCATTTTGCTGTAAATGACAGCTTCCCAGAAGCAGGTCCCCAAACGGACGCCAACAGGCTGTTCCAAACTTGAGCCCCGCCACGCTCGTAGAATTGCAGCTCGCCAGCGCCTGACAACTGGAATACAAGCTATAAAGGGTTCTACTGAATCAACCAGAGCAAGCATGTAAACACCTCAAAGGCCAAAGGCCCATGTAGCGTAGAGGCATTGCACCGTCTGCAGACTTTGTCCCACTTGAAGTGCTCAGAAAATTGCGACAGGCATTCGTAGTCTGCAATGAATTGGAGCAAACGACGGCAAACATTTCCAACTAACAACTTCTTCGTCACACAGGACTTGGTAACTTCCAGTACAAAACAACTACAACTGCAACTTCAATCAGAATTGCCCTGCCAGACTCCGCTGTGAAATTTCTAAGGCTGCCCACGACATGCCTCCTAATGGAATTGGGAAGATACCTGATGCAAAAATACTGGCCCTGCCTCTAATCCAGCCCTCGAGCCCCCTTTCAAGAGCTGCAGCAACAACGTCGGCATCGAGAACAACAGCAGCGTACCTTTGTTTGTGAAAGCCCTGCTGGGATGGCACGATGGGGATGGTGTTTTTCAGGAAGAAAGAATTGTTGAGAATGCCCCCATACCGACAGGATGCTTTGCTGACGGCCGTGTTTTCAAAAGTTTCCTGGAGTTGCTGTCCTATGTCTTGCCTCAAGCTGCTCGCTACAGTAGAATATAGCCGAAAATGCCAGGATTGCCAGTTTAAGGGCTTCCAAGCAAAGACCCGCAAATCTGGGACAGCCCCACATTGGACCAGCCTTCCCTTTTGCAGGTCAGGGCGCCCATCTGCTTGGGTCTCCAGGAACTCTGCAACTGCACAATGCCTCAATTGTGCTCCACGAAAAAGGAACTTGCTGGAACATTGCGCGACAATCTTAAGCACCAACGTGGGAAAAGCGGGGGTGGGAGTTCAACGAGGTTCTGAGCACATGAACATCCAAAAAAGCTTTGCTAACAGCATCGGGGCGCTTCAAGTAGAAGAAGTCCCCGCGAAACCTGAGGCAGCAAAGACAATCCAGTCCATGTGTTAACAAGAGAATATAAAAGAAACATGCTGTATCAGCATTCGGGGAGGAACCCCTGCATTTTCATGGCTTTAAGCTAGTATACATAAATTGTGATAATCTAGCAGGGCCAGTGAATCCCTTGCCAAAACCGCTGAATGCCTTAGGGCCTAAGGCCGCTAACAGGGAGGCCAGATATGCGGAACTCCAAAACGCTTTGGGCGAGAAGACCTCATTGAATGGAGGCATAATTTGAGAGAATACCTCCAGCGCGTGATGAAAAATTCAAAACCCGCAGGAAGACCTTGCAAAGTTTCAACAACATCTACAAATTCAAGTAGTACCTCATGGGCACTCAGAATTAGTAATTGCTGCCCATCCCTACTCGAACTTGGGAAGTTTTCAGAGGTATGTTTTTGCACCGGAGGCCTCAGTTCTGAAAAACAGGAGCATCTTACGTCGAGCCAAGCCACGCGATGCACTTGGGGAAGGTGCTGCCGTTCAGCAGCCAGAGGTCATAGGCCTACTGGAGATCCGGGGCTTGGGTGGTCATGGGGCTGTGGCGTATTCACGTGTTCAGGGGTTTTCATGGGTTCCTGGAGATGAAGGTTTTGGGAGAGGTTTGAGAGATGATGCTTGGACACCTGTGGCTTCTTTTGCCTATGGCTCCTCTAAAGAAAGACCCGGAATACATCCAAACCAAGTTGTTTGCACCCACAACCGGACCTTCCATTGGCCTGACCTGCAACAGACTCAGCGAAAGTCTCGAAAATCAGACTTTCCAGAATCCTTTGCCTGCTGCTGAGCGTAGCAGCGGAGGCTTTGAATCTGGGTGTCATACTGCCTTGGCTTGTGGGGCTGCAATAATGGCGAAACACACAATAGTCCATCCTCCAGGTCATGCAACACGGAAGAGTGATCACCGCCGGCAGGTCATAATGTCTCGATTTCTTGAGATCTGAACTTAGTGCTATGGCTTGCAAGTCTCAAAGCAAGCAGCTAACTCGCGTTTCATACTAGCACGACTGCTAATTACTACCATGGCCACGCTCATGATCAGCCTCGCTTCAATTCGTTGCAGCCCATAAAATTCTACCGTGATGCTTCTGAAAATAGCCATCTGCCATAACCACCAGGCCGACAGAATGCATGCCTCACGATTCGTGCAACTGCAGCTTAAGCTTTCAGCTACCATTCGGGCCAAGGGGAACTCACTGTGACTGTAGGTGCTTGGACAATTGAGCTGCGAGTTTCTGGACCAGCAGGGCAAGATTCACATCTTGCTGCTACGCTTGGTTGACGCCAGGGGAAGATGGCAAGTGGAGCACATCATGCAGGTCAGACTGCTGAGCTGACCTACTAGAGTAAAGGCTCATCACTTGCAAACAGAGCACCTGCAAGAGCGAACGAGAATGAGAGGATCAAATTAACTTGATTGTTTGCCACTGCTCTAACATGTGGCCTCGTTCAGATGGCTCGAACACCTGCTTCTCATCTACCTTCCTTGGCGAGCGGGATGGAAATCTGTGTTGCTGCGTATTCACACGCGTGCTTGCCCTTAGCAGGCCCCGAACCATCTTGCTTGCAACCTGTCTCCTGTACCTTGAGAGGCCCCCTTGACGTATGAGGACTGCTTTGTATGCATGATCTGGAGATTCAACGTCTTGCGCGACAGTCCCAAGAACCACTGAGGAGTGCACCTGATGACGGCGCTACGAGTGCCTTACAGTAGCCAGGCATATGAGCTACAGTCAATCTCCCCATATAATTAATGCACATGGATTCCTTACTATGCAATATACTCAGGACTATGCTTAACTACAGAGGGGACCCCTACGTCCACTGTTAACAGCCCCTTAAAAAGGCTAAGATTGACACTAGCTCATATCAACAGGCTTGAAGGACTCAAAACTCATTCGGCTTTGTACCCTTCATCTCAGACGTCATGGCTTCATGGGATCAGCTTCCAAAGACCCAACATAAGTCCTGGAGAATGACAACGTACAATGCCAATATTCAGGAACATAAGAGCCCGCTGCCCCTCGACCCGTAGCAGCTCCGTAGCACCATAGACCCATTATGCCCGTGATGACCCACCCCTCTCAACCGGAATCATTCCACATCCTTTCTCTGCCTGTGCCCGCAATGGCTGCTGCATCCTCTGCAGCACGCGCTGCGGCGGCTGCCGCCGTTGCAGCGCGGTTGGCTCCTGGAGTATCATGATGGGGATCCTTGGAGGTCCAGGGGTTACACTGGGTTTCTAAATCCATCTTGCGGATTCCATAAGCAGGCATGTGGATGGACCCTGAATACAAAGTTACCAAACATTTGCAGCTGTCCGAAACACTTTTGATCCAGCCATTTTGCAGGGATGGGTAGCGGGAGGCTTTCAGCTTCAACTGTTGGAGCTCTAATCCGTTCAATTCAGATTCGCAAGCTTCAGGCAAGTGCTCGGCAAGTGTCCGCAAGCCCCCCGAGGCTGCTTATCACTTAAAGGAATTGCTGGGTCTGCGTGTCTTCACAGCTGTCGTGGCATCGTGGCATCTCTTCACATCTTGTCTTCACGCCATTTGCTTATCGCTTCTTGTGTCGTATTCAAGCTCGTGTCGAGACCTTGCGGCATATCTTCATGTCATGTCTTCGCGTGTGTCCTACCACATCTTATCTCTGTGTCATACCCTCTTGTCATGGCCTTTAAGTCGTACCTTCGGATTCTTATCCGCATTGGTGTTCAAGGCTGCTGTTGGCTTTGCTGTACAATCTTCGGAAGCTTGCAACAGACCTAGGCGGCTGTCAAGACCCTTACAAACCTGTTGCAGCAGCCCATGCCCAAAAAGCACTTCAACAGCAAGAAGATAACATTTTTTGAGGCAGCTGTTCCGGTAAAGTAGGCTGTCATCGGCTTTCCAAGCATCCAGGAACTAGGAGATTGCAAGTTATCTGAAGCGGTCCTTCGGTGGCCTGGCGGAGAACCATTCGCAGGGTCTCCTCCTGGCTTGGCACTGGTTACGAAAGGGACTTGGCGAACCCCGCCCCTACACTGAGTGGCCAACAAGATTCATATCATACTCATCTTTTGGGAATTGGTAACAGTTGGTGACTTGAGTAAAATCCCCTAACTGCTGTTGGCAAGGGCCCTTCTTTGCATGGACCCCCCAACGCGGTTCGTATTCGCTGTGAAAGGATTCATTCTTTCCCACTCACGATAGGAACCACGAATCAAGATCTAGGCCCAGAAGCAAAATTTGTTTTCAGGATCACTGCTCTGGGGAACGTCATAAGGCCTCTCGTCTCCAAGAACTGGGGGCGAACAAAGCTCCACCACCAACCGAAGAGCAGATTGCTGCACGGTACATGGAACGCGATTACCCTGATCAGCTCACCGAAATCGCACACCCCAAAACACGGTCGGTTACCCGCAGAAATTCATGATAAGGTCCGGTCACAAGGAGCGCTACATGCCCCCGGGGATTTGCAGTGTAGCCATGCAAGGCCTGGCCTCCTCATGTAAGGACTTCATGCTGCCGTCAGCGCCCACAGCCACGGCGGCGAGCTGCGAAGCGGATTTGCGAGCCTGCTTGCCAGATGCCGCTTTTCGCTTCCAGTGCGATGATGACGGCGATTTTCAAAGCTGAGACCCTTGGTTTTGCTTGAGGTTCGATGACTCAGGCTTCACAGTACTACCCGGAAGCTCTAACCCTTTTGCCAGAGCTAGGCTGCCCATTGAGTGTAAAGTTTGGTGATGACTGGTTTGCATCTCGGGCAGCGACAAGGCGGTGACCTTATCCTGGACATGATACGCATGTTTAAGGCCAGAGCTTAAATCTCATGTTTTTTCACAGAGATACCCCAAACGCACCTCAAGCCCATCGCTTTAAGACTGGGGGAAGACATCTGGGCCACAAGGAACTCTTTTTCAACAGCATCATCTGAGCCATAGTCTAAACCCCTAGCATTCCCCTTACTAGCCCCTGTAATGGTCACCTATATAGTCCCTTATGACCCCTTTGAGGAATTTAAACCCCTAAACCATAAGCCCTAAACTTTCCTAAGCCCTACAAGATCCCCTATATAAGCCCCTTTAAAGAGTTTTCATCCTTTTTTGCATGTGGACCCTTTTCAAACCCTAAACCCTAAACCTTCTAAAATCTCCTGGATAACCCCCTTGTAGCTCATCTGATATCATACCTACTGTTCACCCAAGGCAGCGCTTGAGCCTTAAGCTGCGCCTGCGCGTGTGAGGACTCCTCCACGGGTTCAAGCAGACAACCCACAGGGTTTGGGGCTTGGAGTATGTGAAAACCCTCCCCTGAACCTTATACAAAAACAAAACGGGTCACTGTGAGAGTGCTTTTTTTCCACATTTTCTAGCGGTACTTGCGCTATTTAAAGCAAAGAAAAAAACAAAAAACAACGGAA